AAGGCGAACCCGCGGGACGGAGGACCGGGGGGAGCGGGGAGAGGCGCGCTGCTGTTGGCGTATTCGTCTGGTCAAACTGCTGGGACCAAGGAGGGTCTCGGGCTGCGGCTCCTGCTCAGGATCCCGTAACTGGCATCACTTGCAGAAGAGGCTCGGCAGGCTCGGGATTTTATTTCCACTCAAGAAATAGCAAATAAGACGGTGGTCAGCTGTAGCATTATTTTTCGGTACTGGTGCTAACTGCTTAACGGTAAGTTAAAGGTATATATTAATTGTACAACCCAATTTTTTGAAGTCTCCGTCTGAATGCACTCCAAGCCTGGAATTTAACTTTAGATTTAAAGAATGCATAACTCCTCGAAAGAGTGGTTTCAGCGTGTCTTGTGGGTTAACCCTGGTAGGTGGCTAAGCCCCACACAGGCGTTCGCTCGCTCCCCCCCCCCGGTGGGATGGGGGAGAGAATCGGAAGGGTAAAAGTGAGAAAACTCATGGGTTGAGATAAAGACAGTTTAATAGGTGCGCAAGCAAAGCTAAATAAGGAATTCATTCACTCCTTCCCATCGGCAGGCAGGGGTCCAGCCATCTCCAGGAAAGCAGAGCTCCATCACGCGTAACAGTGACTTGGGAAGACAAATGCCATAATGACGCGTGTTTCTTTGTTCCCGCAGCTTTTATTGCTGAGCATGACGTCATATGGTGTGGAATATCCCTTTGGTCAGTTGGGGTCAGCTGTCCTGGCTGTGCCCCCTCCCAGCTTCTTGTGCCCCCCTGCTCCTGGGACGGGGAGGGGAGGAGCAGCATGAGAAACAGAGACGGCCTTGGCGCTGTGTAAGCACTGTTCCACAACAGTTAAAACGTGTGTTTTAAACACTGCTTTGGTCACAAATCTGAAACGCAGCACCTGACGAGCTACTATGAAGAAAATTAACTCTGTCGCAGCTAAAAAAAGTACAGTGTGAAAGACAAAAAGTTGAAATAACAATCTTTTAAATGTTATGCAATTTTTATTTCTCCTGATCTATTTCTTTTCAAAGGACACAAAGTCTAATTGTTTACAATAGGAGAAATTTGGCTTAGGGATGCACAGCGGAGAAGTTTGAGTGTACAGGGAAATGTGTGGTTTGCCCGTTCTAATGGCACAAATTAAGTATATGGCAACACTGTATATTGGTCTGGCTTACCTTCTTTGTATTTAGAATAGAAATGGCCAGCTTAATTTCTTTAGAGCAATATTTTACGAATAGTGGAATAATACTGCCCTCAGTTTAATCCTTCAAACAATATGCTTCTGACTTTGGATCATATAAGAGAGGAAGGACATTGGTGTTTCAAAGAGTCTTTCTGAAAAATACAAGCTATCAAAAGATTAGCAACAGACAATCTAGATAAAGATAGTAAATGATTGTTAGTCTTTGGCATTTTTATTTCTATTTAAGCACCAGTGGTTTGTGTTGTCACTTTTGGCAAAAAACATAAAGCAGAGAATAGAGAATAACTTTTTCCAAAAATAATAAATTAATAAGGCTATTTGTTAGTGGTCCCTTTTTAGTTAGACCCTGGATAACCCAAGGATTAGGCTGTTTATTGTTCCTATACTACTGAATCTAATACTGTATATTATCAACTGAAACTTTGCAGTCACCTCTTGTCAATTGCCCCTTATCCTCACCCTAGATCGGGAGATAAAGTAATAAGCTGAGAGTTATCAAAAATTAAATTCAATGTAGACATTGCGAAGATACTGAAATGAGCAGCATAAAAGGTCTTCAGCTGTCTCAATGCAAAGAAAACAAATTACAAAGGAAAGCCACAATGCAGAGAACATGGGGGAGATTAATAATGATCTAGGAATGGCTCTGAACTAAATTAGCACTTTGTTCCACCTTTTAGTAAGGACAATGCTAATTGTGGAGGTCTAAGGAAAGATGATGGAAAAGAAGGTCTGAAAGTAGAAGTGGTACAGCAAAGGTAAAAACAACATTCCAATTGGAAGGTGATACTGAATAATTTCCATTCCAAAATTCTAAGAAAATAGACAAGCTATTGAAGAACCTATAATGGGTGTTTAATTAATGTGTTGTGAGCATAGTGTTACAATGTGGCAAAAGAAAGCATGAGTGGTTCCTTGGTTGAGGAAGGGGGGTGAAAAAAGATGATTTAAGTATACACAAGTTTGTAAGTGCAATCTTGGTCACATACAAGGTTTTAGAGTAGATTTTAGAAGGACTATGACAAAAGAAATAAGGAGAAATGTGATTAATTTGAGCAACCTGATCTAGTGAAAGATGTCCCTGCCCCCCCCCCCCCCCCCCCCACCACCCGGGGGTTGGAACTAGATGATCTTTAAAGGTCCTGTCCAACCCAAACCATTCAATGATTCTATGATTCTAACTGGGACAAGAGTTCTTTATTATGACCTTGCTGTAGAAGAAAACATATTGTGTAACTGCACTTGGCTGAAAGACTGAGTTAATCTTCGGCTGATGACAAGCTCAGATGTATCTGTGCAATGTGATGCATCTGCAAAAAATATGATCCTAGCGTACATTAAGAAAGAAAATTTCCAGCAATGATGAGGGCTTATCACTGTCATGTGCGAATGGACGAGGAACAGAGATTTCTGGTCTCCTGTGCTAGAGATTAATTGAAACTGGGCCAACTGCACAGAAGCAACTGGTCAAGGAAGAGTGTTTTTTATGAGATGGTATTAGAAGAGCCTGTCTTGTTTGATGAAAAAGTAGCAAATATGAAGACTAGGAGGTGATATGACTGCATATGCAATAGGGAGAAATAAAGGCACTTTACTATTAAGGGGAATACAGAAAAAGAACAAAGTGGTACAAAGTAGCCATTGATACCATTAGCTAGATTTAGTATTAAAACAAGTCTGCATAATTTGTATCATGTTATACCTCAATAGTAATTGGAATTAAAAGACACAAAACCAGAATGAATTATTGTTGTTATTATTGTTATTATAAAATAAACTCTTTTAAATATGCTGGAAACATTTTTGAAGTTAAAATTTGCCAAGTACTCTCTATAGTGAGGAAATATAAATGTAATGTTCCTAATTAATCTGACTATATATTTTCTGACTACCTATCTGTGCTGTTAATTTCAGGGGATCAAAATTCATGAGTCACGTGTTGGGAAAACTATGAATTTCACTCCTCAAATAATTACGTATTTCTTTTCTTTAAGATTCTGTGTTCTGGTGTGTCTTGAGTTCTATGTTTTGCTCTTTTTCTCTGCTTCTAGAACTTGCTGTTGTTTCAGATCTTTCTCACAGTTCCTCATCAGAATCTAAAATGTACCTATTTTAATTAGGCCTGCCTATAGTATGTTACTAAAAAATTATTGCCCAAGAAATACAGATATATAGTATATTTTTCTAGTTCTCTTTAAGTATGTGTGTGAACTGCGGATATATCAACATGCAGGATTAATTTCCAGAAGGAAACTTCAGTAGCCTTAAAAAAATCACCCGAGCGCCTAGGTTTGATTTGCTTCAACAACTCCACACTCACATTTGTAATTTAGATTAAGTTCTTGGGAGGCAACTGTATGCTTTGCTCAAGAGAAGGAAAACTTGTTCTTCTGGTAGGTGTGGCTGCTGTTCCTGACATTAAAGAACATCAACCATCTGAAATAAAATGTGTCAACAAGTGTCTTAGGTATTGTACCAGCATTTTTTTTTCTCAGTATTGTTCAGTATTGAACAATTCTTGCAATTTATCTTAAAAATATTTAAATTTTTATCTGGTCAGAATAAACAATTTGTAGATTATACCTTAGCAAAAAATAAATGGAGGACTGAACAGAACTTCACACAGCCATCTGCTTTAAAAGGTACTTTTTCCTTTCTGATATTCATTGTTCAAAACACAGTTGAAAAGATATATTTTTTTTATTGTTCATTATTTATAAATAGCAAAAGCAGAAGACATAACAGGTAATAAATTAGTTGTATTATTTAATGTTGACATGTTTTGATATTTCTTTAGTAAAACTATTTATTCTATAAGACTGAACAATATTTTAAGTCATAAATAGATGAGACTGAGGAAAAAATGTTAAATGTGACCTACTTTATGTTGTAACAATGCTAAAATATATAACAACCTGGGAATAAGAATGCTCGGGGGAAACTTTTTGTCTCACTTTAGAATGTTTAATAAAAAGACTTACAAAATTTGAGTTGTTCTCAGTCACAAATCTCCAGCAGAAAGTTGTATGACTGTAGCAGGCTCTTACCATGTATTTGCAGTTCTGCTCTAAATTGTAAGGACTTCTGGGGGGAACTCTCCATTTCAGAGACAGAAGAGTCAGTGCTGTCTGCTGTTCTGCTTTGTGTGCCTAGTGCCTAGTGTGATGTGAGATTTCTGGTGCCCTATGACTGTTTTGGTCTGTAAAGCAATTCCTTGGCAACTAGGAAAGGCTGCTATAAATCATATCAGCCTTGGCAAATGGGGCATTTTAAGGGGAATGTTGTGACCATAGTTTTCCTTACTCTGCTTTTTCAGGAAAGAGCAGTTGTGAAAATATTGCACATTATTCTGAAGGCGTGGGCAATTTATTTTTTGCCTAAACTCAGTTGAGATTCAGAAGCTAGATTGCTGTATTCAGAAGCTAGATTTTACTGGCTGGAAAATACTGTGTTTAAGCAGAAAGCCAGACCCTAGGGGAATTTTTCAAGCCAAGCAGTGAAGTTGCCAGTGAATTTAGGCACTTCCAAAGTTATGAAACTGCTGAGTGTGATATCTGGATCAAAACTATGGATTTAGGTTCTTTCTAGTTTTGTATCTTTCTTACTTTTATTTGAAAATGCAAGTTTTCTGTTCCATCACAGAACAGTATCAAGATAGAGGCTCTCAAAATAGCTCTACACAATGTGTGACATGCAGAAAACAAGTATGAAATATTAGGTTTAATTATCATTTTAGAATAGACTGAGTAATATGCTTTGGAAAAAATATTGTTAGATATTTAGCATGTGCATACTCTCTGAAGATACTTAGATTACTAAGTACTTAAGCAAGTGATTTTATTAAGAGTCTTGAGAAGTAAATGAAAGGACAAGAAATATGAGAATATTCCAATATCTGCTACACCTATGACATTGCTACCTGTTTTAGCTATAAAATATATACTTAGAAATCTGAGTCTTTTAACGGTATGATGGTTTTTCTCAGCAGCTGGCTTTATGCAGCAATGACATGCCTACTAGAAACATTTTCTTCATCTTGTGCAATAGAATCAATTTATTCCATCTTGGCATTTTACCCCACACTTCTTGCTGGCAGTCAGGGATACTCTCTTCTACCAGTCCAGTTTTCTGATCTAACATGAATTTGATTAATCTGGGGCACTCTTCTTCCAAGAATCCCTGTGATACAAGCAGGCCTTTGAAGAGACTTGCTGTCACCTTACTGTATATGGATCATATCTGGATGCCTAAAGATGAATTTGTAGAGGAAACTTTAATCTGAGCTCCACTTGCAGAAATTACTGCTTGAGAGTATCATGAGCTCCCTGTCAGGCATTAATACTTACTAGCATGAGTGCCGCTGAAGACTTTGGCCATACAGGTAGTCAGGGATGCCTATCTATTCCTGCAGCAGCAGCAAGAGTTTAAGACCTGACGCCCAAACCATGCCAGGAGCTGAGCCAGCATTAATGCAGTGTGAGGAAGCCCAGATATCTAGCAAGCATAATATGAGGCAACCTTCCCTGCAAGCCCTGCCTTGCACAGTGCTAAGTAGGGTAAAGCTGATAACTGAGAATAAGTTTTATACCCCCATAGATTTCGCCTGTCTTCTGCTGAATTGTATGAATTGACCTTCCTCTGTATGTATTGTCTCATTGGTGGTGAACTGCAAGTTAGGGAATTTATACATTAGAGATTGTATCTGGACCATCATGTGCAATCCCCAGTTGCCATGTTTTTTATGAACTTGATTAATTCTGTATACATTTAATTTCTATGTCTGCCCCTAACTTGTCTGTGAGAAGTCCAGTTGAGGGTTTTTTTGGTGTAAAATTTATATATACATGTAGGGGGAAAAAAAAAGCTTTTGTTTTGCTTTAAAAATTACTGCCTAATTATTTAATTGGATGTTCTAAAATTTGGATTAAAGAAAATAATGAATAAAGGCTCCTTGTTCTCCTGTATGTAGACCTCTATCATATCATCTCACAGAACCCTCAATGTACAGAAAATGTTCCACACACCTGACACAGAGGCATTCAGAGTATCATCCATCCCATTAAAAGTGTGTTCTGTGATTGATTTTTCATAAAAGCGCAGTAGCTGGGTCTCTGATTAAGTCTGTGCACAGTGATAGAGATTTGCCCCCCATCTTGTTTGTGAAATTCTTGAGCAATGATCATGAGTCAATATAATCTCATACTACATATTTTCTTTTCTGCAGATGCGGCAGCATAAACTGCAAGGACAAAGAAATTTGCATCCACGTTTAGATACATTCAAAATGTTGTGTGGTGGGAAAAAATCTTACTTTGCTGCTGCTGTGTGCATTATTACTCTAACTTCAATGGTCACACTTTCTTATCTTAGGTTACAGAGACTTTCTCACCTGCCAAAAATAATTCAAGAAGGTAGCAGATGTAGAGGGAAAACTACCAGTAGCACAATAACAGCATTAAAAGATAACAGAACTTTTATTATATCCCCATACTTTGATGACAGAGAAAGCAAAGTCACTCGTGTGATTGGGATTGTTCATCATGAAGATGTAAAACAACTATACTGCTGGTTCTGCTGTCCACCCGATGGAAAGATATATGTATCAAAAGCAAAAATTGATGTTCACTCAGATAGATTTGGATTTCCTTATGGTGCAGCAGATATAGTTTGTTTGGAACCCGAAAACTGTGATCCAACACATGTATCAATTCATCAGTCTCCACATGGAAATATTGACCAGCTGCCAAGGTTTGAAATTAAAAACCGCAAGGCTGAGACCTTTTCTGTTGACTTCACTGTATGCATCTCTGCCATGTTTGGAAATTACAACAACGTTTTGCAGTTTATACAGAGTATGGAAATGTACAAGATTCTTGGGGTACAGAAAGTGGTGATCTATAAGAACAACTGCAGCCATCTGATGGAGAAAGTCTTGAAGTTTTATGTGGAAGAAGGATCTGTAGAGATAATTCCCTGGCCAATAAACTCACACCTCAAGGTTTCTTCTAAATGGCACTTTTCTATGGATGCAAAAGACATTGGCTACTATGGACAAATCACAGCTCTAAATGACTGTATATACCGTAACATGCAGAGAAGCAAGTTTGTGGTTCTTAATGATGCTGATGAAATAATTCTTCCCCTTAAGCACCCAGACTGGAAATCAATGATGAGCAGTCTTCAGGAGCAAAACCCAGGGACTGGCATTTTCCTCTTTGAGAACCATATCTTCCCAGAAACCATATCTACTCACATGTTCAACATTTCATCCTGGAATACTGTGCCAGGTGTTAACATATTACAGCATGTTCACAGAGAGCCTGACAGGAAAGATGTAATCAATCCCAAGAAAATGATAGTTGATCCACGAAAGGTGATTCAGACTTCAGTCCACTCTGTCCTACGTGCTTATGGGAACAGTGTGAATGTTCCCATGGATGTTGCCCTCATTTATCACTGTCGGGTGCCCCTTCAAGGAAACCTTCCCAGAGAATCCCTCATCAGGGATACAACACTGTGGAGATATAACTCATCATTAGTCATGAATGTTAACAAGGTGCTATATCAAACCGTACTGTAAGCTCAAAAGTGAAACCTCGGTTATAAGGAGGGACAGTGGAGAGCTACCCATATCATGGAGAGGCAGAAGAATATCATTAAAGGTCACGTTAAAATCACTTCCATGGGAAGTTTACGTCTTACAGAGATTTAGGAGAACAGCCCTTTTATGTACTGTGCAAAGGTAAATGCATTTCATTTGTGAACTGAGACATGGTACCTTTGAAGAGTCCACGGTGATCAAGTGCTGGTTAAGAATTGGGTTCCTCAGGTAAAGTCTCTACTGCAACTTTGTAAGATGTGAGAGCTGAGGCACAGTGAGAAGATAGCTCTTTTACATGCCTATAACTATGAAATGGCATTATTCAAGGCCTAGGAAGTGACCATGAAGAAATCAGAAAGCTAATATACCAATTTCCAGCTTTCTCTCTTTTTCTTTTCCCATCTTTATATATGTTTTAGCTAGTACAATGAACCTGTAAACTACCTGAAGAAGGAATGAATTGATTTTTGGTTATTTGTATCTCTGAAGTACTTGGTGGATAAAAAAATACAGCTGTGCTTAGTGGTGCCTATTAAAAGATGGCTTGGGACAGCATCTCCCAGGTGGAGAGCTGCATTGGCATTAACACTGTAACTCATTATAATCACAGAGGCAGGATAAGAAAACACACCAGCTGTAGCACTGGAACTGTGACTTGTTAGAAGTATTTCTTCTTAAAAGACACAGGAATTTGTAGCAGAGCCATGAGTCATTTAATGATACCAAAGATCAATGCAGATGGTATTACTTCTTCTGGAAAATGTAAAATTAGTTTGTTTTCAATTAAAAAAAAAAAAAAATCAGTATTTCTCAACTGATTCAAATAATGCAAAAGGCTATAGACAGTTTTCAACCTATGTACAAAAAAATATAACTACAATCATTAATATTAAAGGTAACGTTCCTTAATTCTTGCAGTTTGTATGTCACTGTTTGGGTACAAGATTTGTATGTACCAAGTTGAGTAAAAGGTAAACAAATACATTGTGAAAATAATTGAGCAAAATCTACCAGTTTCAATTGTAAAAAAAGGAACCCCCTTATATTCTTGGAAATAGTGTTTGTTAAAGTGGTGATGTATTGTAACACTAAACATAGCTGTTGGAGTTTTGCTGCTCCAAATGATTGTTCAACTGGGTTTTTGAGACATGTAAGTTTAAGAAGAAGGATGATCCCTCTTTTGTTACCCACAGCTGTCCTGAATTACTTAAGCAGTAAGTGCTGAGTCATGTTGGAAAGCTTTAAAACAGAGGCAAGGGTTACAGATTGATGTTGAAGAAAAAGAGACTATTGTGAACTGAAAAGGCAGCTATTTCCAGGTGGAACGATGGATGGATGAACAACTACTTATGATACATAATAATTTTTTGTTTCTGGGACCTTGAAGCCTCATAACAAACTGTTTCTTCATTCATGAAAATTAGACATCAGGTGGATTTTAGTCCTTTATGTGATGGGTAAGTTGAATTATGTTGCTTCCTTGTGTAGGTGTAAGGGTACAGAAGCTGCATCTTTTCCAACCTTTATCTAAAAATAATGCCAAGTAGTTATTAATGTCTGCTGAAGGGTCAGATGGAAAGCAAAGCAAACAAAAAACACTTGCTCACTGTAGTTTCACAATTTCAGTCATATTTTTTCTGTTTGCTGAGCCCCCAAAGCTATGTGCATTGTACTGATGTGGCAATGTATTAGAACCGTCCTATGAAGGGACATCTGGGGGCAGTGATAGTCTGATGCTTCAGTGTGTGACAGAGAAGTGTGTATGTGAGAGCAGGTATGCTTTTTTTAATTCTACACCAGTGTCATGTTTTCATTCCTTCATCTGTTTTGCGGTGGCACGTACCTATGCCCTTAAGGAGCTCTGTCATTAGGGGATTAGTATCATTAGCTAGCAAATGTCCAGGTGGAACTTTTACTTGGAAGTCTTCAAGAGACAGTCTGTAAATAACTGTTTGCTAATTGTGTTTATAATAATCATCAGCTGCTATGTAACAGGCTAAAACTAAAAAGGTAGAAGAGCAGTGTAGTGTGTATTGGATGCTTCTCATGCTTTTCTGCTTGCATACTCTGGGACAATGCAGAAAAGGAGAATTTAGAGTTCTTAATTTGTTTAAAATTTTCTGCAATTTGTGAAATAGTTGTGGCAGAATCTCTTTCCAACTACCACTTCACAGCTTTTAACAAACCATCATATTTGCTTCACAGTGGCAGCAACATCTCCCAAAGTCTGTATCAACAAATTCTGGCAACTGTATTAACATCAAAGGTGCCTGCTGCAGTGGTACTATCTTGCTTGGCAAGAGATTCATTTAGAATTTTAGGCTCATGTAGTTTAGAAGGGGCGCATCTGGAAGTCCGACTCCCTGCCCAAAGCAGGGTAAGGTAGCATGGTTTGCTCAGGACTTTGTATAGGTAAACTGGATGCACAATCCCTCTCTGGGCAACCTGTTCCAGTCTTAAACTACCCTCACAGTGGAGAAGAGCTAGTTGGAATTACTCATTGCAATTTGTGACCATTGGCCCTTGTCCTGCTGCATGATGCTGAGATGAGTCTGACTTTGTCTTCTCTATACCTTCTTATTAGGTAGCTGGAGATAGTAGCAGTGCCTCCCCACCCCATGCCCACCGCCACCTTCCTTTCCCCCACCATTCTCTCTGGAAGACTGAACTTGGCTCTCGCAGTTTCTCAGACATGTGCTCCACCTCCCAGTCCATCTCTGTAGCCTCTCACGGGACTTGCTCCAGTGTGTCAGTCTGTTTTGTACTGGGGAACTCAACACTGGACTCAGATGTGGCCTTGAGCACAGAACAGAGGTGAAGAATCCCTTCCCTTGAACTCCTAGCTATGAACTTGTTAGTACAGCTCAGTATACTGTTGGCCACCTTTGTCACAAGGCTATATTGCTGAATCCTGTTCAATTTGCTGTGCAACAGTATCCCCATGTCCTTTCCTGTAAAGCTGCTTTCCACCTAGTTGGCTCCAACCCTGTTACGTGGGGTGATTGTGTCTCAGGTGCAGGATGGTGCATTTGCTTTGGTTAAACTTCATGAGATTTCTGTCAGCCCACTTGTCCAGTTTGTTGAGGACCCTCAGGATAGCATTCCCTGTTCTCTTGCATATTGACTGCTTCCCCTTCCCATGGTTTCCCCTTCCCCTCCAAATTAGTATTGTTGAAAACTTGCTGAGAGTGGATTCTGCATCATAAAGGTCACTAATAAAGTAATTAACCAATTCTAGCCCCTGAAGAACACTTCTATTAACTGGTTACCAGTTAGATTTTTGTATCACTGATGACCACTCTTTGAGCTTGGCAGGCCAGCCCATTTTCTACTCATCTTGCAGTCCAAATTTTCACTCCATATTTTGCTGATTTGGGTACAAGGACATTTTTGGCGTGCTCCTGTCTAAACTCCTGCTGTGAAGAAATCTTTCAAAGCTAATGCAATGTTTTATAGGTGGCCCATCATCACATGGCTCTTTCAGAGTAAGCTGAGTTACCGCACGCATCATACGCAGTATAGTTACTACCACATTAAGAATGATGAGAACTGGGTTTCAAGACAAGTTTTTGAAAGCTTTCTGCTTCATGTAAGTTTTCTTCACTTCTGAGTGAGACAACAAAAGCTCTAAGACATCATCATTTGTGCCCCCGTCAGTGTGGTTTGAATCGAGAACTGTGAATTTGGCTTCCAATTGATAAAATCCTTGACTACAAACACATTTTCAAAGTAAGTTTGTGTGAATAAAGGTGGAAAAACCAAGTACTTAAGACTCTAGCCTTGTATTCAAGAGACACTGCTCCACTGTGACTTCATGCAATCCGTACCACATCACTCAAATACTGATTCTTGCATATGAAAACTCCCATTATTGTAATTCATACTGCATACATTTGGGAACCTTGTCCTTTGTTCAGTACTAAGTATGAAATTAGGTCTCCTGGGATAGTGGGAAGAAAAAAAAAATCGTACTAACAATAGTAATGCTAGGCAGTTTTATCTTTTCAAGGACATGAGCTAATCTTCATGAAAACTCATGTTTTCAAGTTGTGTAAAAAAAAAAAAAAGAATAAATAGACATTAAGGGGAAATTTTATTGTAAGGGAGGAGGGGAAACCAACCTAAGCTAGGCAGTTATCTTTTCAAGGACATGAGCTAATCTTCATGAAAACTCATGTTTTCAAGTTGTGTAAAAAAAAAGAATAAATAGACATTAAGGGGAAATTTTATTGTAAGGGAGGAGGGGAAACCAACCTAAAGCATTTCTAAAGCATGTGATGTCATAGATACAGCTTTTAAGTACATGTCAAATACCACAAAAGTATGTGGATAGGTATTTGCTACTCAATAGTTAACTTGTGTACATCAGGTCTCCTACGATGAGAAAAGCAAAAGACCTTTTTCTACTCCTATGCTAGGGGAAATTTTATTGTAAGGGAGGAGGGGAAACCAACCTAAAGCATTTCTAAAGCATGTGATGTCATAGATACAGCTTTTAAGTACATGTCAAATACCACAAAAGTATGTGGATAGGTATTTGCTACTCAATAGTTAACTTGTGTACATCAGGTCTCCTACGATGAGAAAAGCAAAAGACCTTTTTCTACTCCTATGCTTTTCTTCAGACTTCTGATTTCTCCCCCCCGAGGTGTGGCCTTCTCACTGTTACTTGCCCCTGCTTTCCAAATCTAGATGTAGCAAGTACTTTAAGTGCATGATTATATTAACTGCAACTTTTGGAAAAAGTGAATGGCTGCTAGACATCATTTAATTGAAGAGAGTGACTCTTGCTGTAGAGATTGAACATCATCTTCCCATTCATTATATTTCTACCTACCTGTGAACTAAGTTACGTTCTCACACAAACTATAGGAAATATGGACTACAAAATACTGATCAAGCCATTCTGAGTTACCATCAGCAAATATGATGAATACTGTCAGAGGTTCTCTAATGTTAATTGCGATGGCAAGCTCTATCAAATAGATGAAAAGTTGGCTCATTCTCGCTGAGGAGAGTTCATATTGACATGTTCCTGAACTTAAACAAATTATTATTGTTAGCATCTGATTCTAGTTAAAGGACTCATTTGATTCTTCTACTTCAAAGGCTAAGTATTTAAAGCTATCATAAGAAAAAACATTTTGAAGAGAATGATACTGGAGAGAGAAAGGGTTTGCTGTCTTCTCATTTGAGTTAAGCAGCCATGCACTGTAACCAGTATTTGCTGTTACATGTACAAAAGCCTACGGTTCTAAAATAGTAGCTCCACCTTCTGTTTCAACAACAAAAAATAGGTCAGAAGTCAGGTCAAGCACTACTTCATTTCAGACGATGGTGGATTTGAATGGTTTAAAAGTTACAAGCTATGCTTCAGAGCCCAAACAGGTATGCTTAAACATGAGTACAGACAAAATTTTGTGGTGAATACTGTTAGCATGCTGTATTGCATTATGTCCAAAACAACCCATTCCCAAATGCCCAAATAAAAGTAAATGATTGTGCATTGCATGATGATACCGTTAGGTGTGCAACTTTGGTTCATGCAAAGTCTCATTTTATGGACACACTGCTGATAGTCCATATATTCCTGAAGATTCTGCATATGTGAGCTTGTCAGCCATGTTCCTTCCATAACACCAAATGGATACTATGGTCTGGCATACTGGTGGCAAAAACCAAGCCCATATCATTTTGGCCATTTAGTCCGTTTAACCAAGACATTTCACCAGCCAAAAAGCTTGAACCTCTCTTTGACTTTCTATACTCTGGTAGAGGCCAGCGGCTTATCAGTTTTTCTGTCCTCAAGTCCATTATATACAGGTATCTGCTATCAAACAGTAGAGCAAATATCTCTCCAAAGCCCAGCAAGGACACATTTGAGAAGTCAGGAGGTTTGATAACCCTAGAAGACAAGACAATGTTGTTAAAAACTCTGTCACGATGTAATCATGAACCTGCATTACTAAAACAAATCCTTATGTGTCTATAGAAAAGAAGTGTCTAAACTCATCATTCTGAAAGGATTTAGAAAGAACTGGATGCAAATTTTGCAAATTAAGCAACTGAACACTTCACTGCAGTCAGGCCTGTGGTTTCAGTTCTGGCTTTGTGCATTCAGGACAGACCCTTCTGAACGTAAGTAAAGGTTAGGGTTTGAAAGGGATTCTGCACAGCACAAGGAAAAAAAGTCTTGTTTCCAGATACACACAAAAGAGCAAATGTACTTGTGTTTTACAGTAAATTTCCATAGGGATTTCATGCCTCAATATCTTTAAATTAAGAGGTAGAACCTCTTATTATTCTTTTGACCACTCTTCTAGAAGCTGGAAATAAAACACAGAAATGCCTTCCTGTGATAAGAAGATAAGATAAATCATTCAAGACTGGTCCTTAACAGAATGTTGTTTTACTGATGCTTAGTGTAAGTTAAGCATTTTCATCTTAGGGAGAAATAAAAGTATTTGTTAGGTCCCCTACACCTTTAGGATATTTCTGCCATAATAAATAAAACTTGGAACAGAAATTGAAGACAGTAAGTTTTCCACAACTGACTGAGCATTTGATCATAGCATTACATAAAGCACAGAACTGAGGCACAAAAATGTATGGAGATGAAAAGCTGTTCTCAGCAGTAAGAGAACATCTTTTCTCTTTTGAAAGATGGGAGGGTAAACTGAGAGATGAAATTACTCAGTTATTCTTACTGATAAGAAGCACTTCTTTTGGACTAGATCTTCCTATGGTCGATACTCTACAAATATTTGGGCCATTTCAATTAAGAGTCTGCTAACAGTTCTAAAATGCAATTTTTTCTTTAATAAGTTACAATCTTTGATGCCACCATTTCTAACAGATACAGCATCGTTCTTTTTATGGAAACGGAATGCAATCCTGTTTGATCCCTTACTGCAGACTGATAGATTTCACTATCATTCCAGTGTTATCGAGAATGACAGATCAGTAGTGCTACAAGGAAAAGGAGCCTTTTTAATTTGTCTCATCAAAGGACCCCCAGAAATGGCCACCTGGTTCTCTGTAGAGCGGTCTCCATGGCAACATTAACTTCCAGTCACTACAGTTTCACATTCACAACTACAGCACTGCAGTCTGATTTAAGCCTATATTGAAACTCTTCAGCTTATGGAATGAAAATATGAAAGAGGACTAGCCTGTGGCCAGAAACCAAAACAGCAATCAAATGATTCATATTAACAGATGATAAATTAGAATTAAACCTGGCAGTATGTGTAAAGTAAGATGTTTACAGAATTTTTATCAAGATTCTTTTGGCCTACATCTAAAGTAAGTTATTAAAACTAATATGTTCTACTTATTTATTTAAAGACTAAGTTTTAAACTGAAAGATTTACCTGAGAATATCATAGCTGGCAAAGTCCCACTGGTATAATCCTAGTGCTGAACTGCACACTATGTATTTACCATCAAAGTGCAGTCTGGGCTGTAGGGAGATGCTGCGATCTTCAGAAACAGACAGTGTTTTTAAGCACTTGCAGTTTATTTCCCTTCCAATAGGCCAAATCTACAATTAAAATACAGTTTAAGACCATAAAACATTCACATTATAAACCATTACACAAAGAGAGCAAGCCTTACAGTCTCTCTTTAAGTATCAGGTAAATGTGTGTATGTTTTTTCAGAAATATTTCTCTCCTTTAGGTAGGTACATCAATTCTGTAAGTGACTTGTCTTACAGTATTGTTGCAGTATGTGTTGTTTCTAGGCCAAAAAATCCCCGGGAAAATGGGTGCCTTAAAGAACGGCCAAAAAACCAACCATCCAAGAGGACAGAAATGTAACAATGTTTCAGTTACGAAGCACTTCCATAGCCACAAACTATTTACAGCACTCTCCAACCCGGAAGTTCCCGACAGTAACGGTACTTGCAGTTAAGTGCTTCACTGTCAAGTTAGCACGTTAGGCATGCACTGAAAGCACTTATTTTTTGCATTACCATTCGTGTAGAGCTATCATTTAAATCGAAACATGAAGGAAAGCATTGAAAAGTTAGCTTCCAAAGAGTTGCATGTCTTGTATGCAACTTTACAAGCAGGGAATATGGGAGAAAATCTTACATTATTTGTAAACTTCAGCGAAGCACTCAAGCATTTTATTTCCCTGGGTACCGAAATGATATATGTATATGGTACATACCTTGATTTCGTACTTATCTGCACTTAGAAGAATATAATCCCCAGGACTATGCATAAGAGATTTGACTTTGCACTTCTGCAAAACTACCTGTAGTTGAAGGATGTAATGATTTATGTTGATGCTGTTAAATAACCAAACTTTCATTTGCATTTTTCACTTCATTCACAACCTGCATACTGTACTCTTGTATAAAGGCAATACAAATACTTTTTGCAGCTGAAGGGAAACTACAGTTTACACTTTTCTTGTTCCTACTAGTGACAACTTACTGTATTAATAAGCGAAGATATGTACTTCACCTCTAGAATCACCCCCCCACCTTCCAAGTTCTGCAATATTCAGAAGAAAAATACTGTTTCTTGACTTCAGAACACTTTTTATGCTCAGATTTTGGTTATCAAGATCATTAGTTTTTCTACATAATTTTTAAAGTAGCTTTCTTTCAGAACCATTGTTTTTATTCAGTCTTTGAATCAAACACTGATTCCTAATATTATTCCAGCTGCTTTGGAATAGAAATATCTTCAATGGTCTGAAAGGTTTAATTATAGCTTCTTTATGTTTTTTTTTTTTTCTGAAATGTTATTTTGCAGTATTTCCTGATGTTCCTCAGATTCTACACCTAGGTGCAGGGTTAGGATTAGGAAATAGAAATTTAGAACACGTTACAAACTTATTGCAAGAAAGTGTTTTGCAAGATTAATTAAAAATCAATATTCCCACCTTAGTGACCCATTCTGTGTGTCCAGTAAGGGTATTCAGGCACGTTCCTGTTGATAAGGCCCATACTTTCACAGTGAAGTCTGCAGAGCCACTGACCAGAATATCAAGTTCATCATTGTAATCCACACTAAAAACTACAAGCAAAGAGGGTACTAAATAAGGAATACTAGTCTCTATGTACGCGTTTTTCTGTAAGTGAGACACTAACTAGGTCATATAGCCTCTAAACAACATTTAACTGTTGTTCTTGAACTGTATATGTGAATTGTTGCTCTGGATTCCTAAGCTTACATTGCAAAATTACTGATTTTTGTCCAAATTAAGAGCATGTACATCAGTGGTTCCTTTATGGTTTGATTATGGCAAAGCATAACTTAAGCTAGTTCCTATTTTAAGAGTTCTAGTAAGTCAATTCCAGGAGGATTATTACATTTGATACATCTCATTACTTAGAGGGGAACAGAACTACAGCTGAGTTGAGGATATTTTGCGGTAGAGGACAGAGAAGTTAATTATGAGGGAAATGCAAATACAGATTCCCAGGTCCTATTGTGCTCTTTGCTGTAAGCCCATCTCCAGTCTGGGGATATAAAGAACTGCTATTGCCATGTGCTCCCTGCTACCTAGGGTTTGCATCTTTTTGGTAGACTCGAAAGTACTGAATAACCATGGCATTTAGTATTATTTCCATGCAACTGCAAAACATTACATGGCTAAGCTTTGGCATTATTCAAGGGCAGACAGATCTAGATCTGTTCTGGCTGCTTGCCCCCCCACCCCAAAAGGTGACATGGGACAGAGCCTAAAAAAAAAAGCTATCGTGCAAAGAGCTAACTTAAATTATAATTTGTTTGATGATGATGTATGTTACTTGACTGGTGAAATTACAAATCGAAAAGTTCAACATACCTGCACCAGTATGTCCTCTAAAATGCTGTGTCTTTGCCCCAGAGCTCCATTCCCAACAGGCTACTGTGTTATCAAAAGATCCTGTTACAAGCTTTTGTTCATCAAACTTCACTGCAGCACAAGTGTGTGTCTGGATACCATATATGCACTGACCTGTGCTTACATCCCACAGTTTCGCAGACAAGTCATCTGATCCTAGAATATAAAAGAACAGGGTAATTGGAAGCAAAGAGTAAATAGTATTTCCAATCCTATACTCGTCTTCCATGTTTGTTTTAAATATAGTATTTTCATTGAATCACAGAATGGTTATGGTTGGAAGGGACCTCTGGAGGTCAACTCTTACAACACCCCTACTCAAGCAGGGCCACCTAGAGCCGGTTGCCCAGGACCATGACCAGATGGCTTTTGAATATGTCCAAGGATGGACGCTCCACAATATCCCTGGGCAACCTGTGCTCAATCACTCTCTCAGTAAAAAAGTGTTTTAGAGGGAACCTCCTGTGTTTCAGCTTGTGTCCACTGTCTCTTGTCCTGTCACTGGGCACCACTGAAAAGAGCCTGGCTCCATCTTCCTTGCACCCTCACTTCAGGTATTTACATACATTGGTAAGATCCTCCCTGAGCCCTCTCTTCTTTAGGATAAAAAGTCCCAGCTCTCTCAGCTTTCCTTCATATGAGAGATGCTCTAGTCCCTTCATCATCTTCGTGGCCCTTCATTGGACTCCCCAGTGTGTCCATTTCTCCCTTGTACTGAGGAGCCCAGAACTGGATACAGTACTCCAGGTGTGGCCTCACCAGTGCTGAGTGGAGAAGGAGCACCTCCCTTGACCTGCTGGCAACACTCCTCCTGAAGCAGCCCGGGATACCGTTAGCCTTCTTTGCAGCAAGGGCACATCGGTGGCTCGTGTTCAACTTGGTGTCCACCAGGACCCCTGGGTCCTCTTCTGCCAAGCTGCTTTCCAGCTGGGTGGCCCCCAGCATATACTGGTGCCATGGAGTTGTTCCTCCTCAGGTGCAGGGCTTTGCATTTCCCCTTGTTGAACTTTTTTTCATTAAATAGGACTTTCAAGCTGCTTGAATGGGGAATAAGCCCTAGTTTTAAGTCTCAGCACTACAGCAAAGCCTCTTGTTTTCATGTTAGTTAAGCTACTAGATGTCTGGCCTTCCAGTTTCCTCATACCCTTTTAGCACCTTCCATAGATTCCAGCACTGCCTCTGATTGACAGTGTCTACTGAAACAGACGCATGGAATTTTTACATGATACATCACTTAGTTTTGCAGAGCCACTGACTATACTGCAAGCTTTAATTTGTTTCAGGTAGGAAAGGAGTCCACCAAATCTCAAAAGACAGCAGATGAATACCAGGCTCCATCACCTGCCAGTTTCCTTTCTCTCCCCAAAGTTTCTTTTTCTTTTTTTTTAAACTCATCACAGTAAGTCCAGACTGCTGGCTTTGGAGAGCAGAATAAAACCCCAGACCCTTACACCTGTTGTTTCTCCTGGTGGTTTCAGCACAAAAGTGTGCCACTTTTCAGAAAGTTTTGATAATGTTCCTTACTGTATGTTTACATTCCTTGCTGACTAGGGAAGTGAAAGACTGGCTAGAGTCTAGTTGTTGGTTTCTAGTAACCATCTTAATGTACCAACAAATGTGGGAGTACTTAGCCAGCATTTCCAACTTATTCTCTAGCATTGTCATCTCAAGTGATTGGGAAATCCTTGGAATACGCTCTGACAGCAGTTCATTGTAACTTTGTTACTATTCTTTCATACTTAAGGTTTCATATTTGTTCTGGCTGTATTTTTAAATTCAAATTGAAATCTTGAAGTCTGCAGTCTTCAGGAAGGAAGCTGAAATTATCATTACAATGTGCAAGTCAGACTAGTAGCAAGGTTAAATCTAGTTTACAGGTCTTCATACAAGCACTTATGATAAGAACTGAAGGTGCTTACAGACCGTATCAGAGAAATTGTCTTGTTTCAAGGAAGAAGACAGACTTTTCCTTCCACACCCTGGGGGACTGCAGTGATCACATAGCCCAAACAAGATCCCTTTAACTGGAAGTTATCCTTTAAGAGGATAACTAACATATCCATACTTCTCAAATGGGCTTACTAATCTGAAGCATGATACCTGCTGTTACTGGTTTTTTTTACCAACAAAGAAATTTGTCTCCTTGTTTTCCTATTAAAGGGACTAATGAGTTTATTAGTGTGCCAGGTGTTTCAGAAATTGAAGGGGGGGGAAAAGTAATCTTGAATCATATTAAACTGTGTTAGCACTATGAAAATAATCTGTCTGGTAAAGGAAAAGCAAATGGTCATTAATCATATGGGTGGGGGGAGAAAACAAAGAATTGTAAGACTCCAAGTTTTCTGTCCTTCCTACCTGTACACAGAAGTCCATCCTTATAGTAAAGTGCATATACTCTGGCACTGTGTCCAATTAAAGAAGATGTCTCAAAGGCTTCGTGGTCCTTCAGTTGCTTCATCCTTAAAATAGCCTTTAGGTAAACCTTCTTCCAATGTAGAGGATCCTGAACAGAGTCATCTATTTGCCAACCCAAATTCTTACATGCAGTCTGCCACACCTCTGTACAGGCACTTATAACCTTATTCCACTGCTTAGAGACGAGGCAACATGTGAGTAAGGTCTGTGGATCAAGCCATTTTAACAGATAAAAACTAAGTTCCAATGGAAGAAGTTTGAGGAAGTCCCTCTTGAGGAGAATCTCTAGATTATTGGAGAGGTGCCTGAGCTGGACTGCTCCACTCAAGCTAATCAGGTGATCCAGAGTTTCATTTTTCTGCAAGTCCGTCAGAGAAAGAAATGTAATAGAAATGTTATCAAGCCATGCTTCAAAGTCCTTTTTCTCCATAAGGTTATGGAAAAATTTACCTGTGATACATCAAAATACTGTATTAGTTCTGTTCAGAAAACAAGGTAAGCATCACATCTTTATTACTGGTACATCAGTATTCCAAATGGCATGTTAACACATAGACTGAAGTGACCAAACATATTTTAAAATATTCATTAGGTTAGGACTAAGCATTTGCATGCACGTTAAACTATCATTTGTCCCACATCAGGCTTAGAAGTGAATTGTATGGAGCTAGTGAATGTTAGCATTCATTATGAATATTAACATCTTTCTTGTTCCAGGTTAACGCTTTCAAATTCTAAATCCAATAAGGTAAGGGTTAGTTCAAGTTTTAAACCTATTATAGCAAATAAACAGTCTTACAGTTTACTCATGATTTATACTGATAAAGGGAAAAAACAAAAGCATATAAGCAGAGTGATAAGCTAGTTACTGACAGAACTTATTCATACCTTTGTCCTGAACTATTTTAAACACAAAGCAGGTAACTATAGAGTTTTTTTAAAAAGATGCAGAGAGATGTCTGAAAAATTGTGTTGAAGGATATGTTAGCCATCTTTCTATTTGGCTCATGTAAAGACTGTAGATTGTGCTGGTCTAGTATCGGTTTTGACATGTTTGCACCACTTTGACCTAAACACTTTTTTTTTTTTAAATTCCTGGGTTTTTTTCCTATTTTCTCAGTTTATTTCCAATGAAAAGAATTAACTGTGAAACTGAAGGTTTGAAATACTACCTCCTGAACTATGTGATCTGTATGCATTTATACTATCTTGTGGCATCTCAAGTTCCTACAATAAGCTTGGACAAGTGATTAACAAGATAAATATCAGGCAAATAGTTAAAAAGCCATAATTATTTATCTCCTCTGGAAGATCTAATTCCATTCATTAGACAACTGGCTGAATTTAATTCACAGAAGCTCCCAAACCCTTCTTTGGGATTGGGAGCTTCTGTGAATTAGGAATCTGAGTGGGAGTCAGTAACATGTTTATTTCTATACAGACATTTTACCTCATAGAATAAGATCTTAGAGTACACCTCTTAACATGGCATAGCAGTACAGAAAAGTACAGTCTTCACTATGAAAGGCTGCACATGGCATGCAATTGCTGATAAAAACACAAAAAGGTGTACTGGGTGTCAAATGCACAGAAACAGCTGCTCCTACCAAGTCACAAGTTCATACAGTAACTTTTACTGCTGACGGCACTTACCAGCTTTCCTCAGCACATATGGCAGAGAATATATTTGCTGTTCTAACAGGCATGAGTTCTTTTAAAAGAAACAAAACTTTCTAAGAGGCTCCCTATGAATAAAGAATAGGTGAGCTCCAAGGCGTTTGTTGTATTCAATACATGAAGCTAATACCGAAATCAAGGGCTGCTGTGAGTCCCCGAAACTGGTGCTCAGAGCGGCGTGCACGAGGCTCTTTCCCAGGTGTTACCCAGCCAGCCCGATCCGCGCCCCCCCGCCCACTCCCATATACCTCCGCACGCAAAAAGCGCGGCGGGGACTGGGGACTTCCAGCGCCGCTGCTGCCGAC